CTGTTTTTTTTTTTTTTTTTTTTTGTGCTGCCGGTTGCGCTAAGCTATTGAGTGTGCTATTAGTGTGATGAAGGTTCGCCTCATGGCCACCCCCCGGTCAGTCGGTGCCCGTCCCCGCTGCTGCCCTGCTTGTTTCTCGCTCGGCCTGCTGACCGGTGGTGGCGAAACATTTACCCTCCACCTCTTCCTGCCGACCCTAACCTTGATGTGTCGCGGATTGTGCAGCTGATCAAGAATAAGGATCTTGCGGTTTTGAGTTCTGGCGATGCCTGTAATGTCTCTGGACTTGTACATGATCACGAACGGCGGTGTGTGTGCCTGTGTGCGTTCTTGTGCGTGTGCTTGCTGATAGGAATAACATGCGGTGACGATGTACGGCCGTGGTCTGTCCTGTGCCTACGTACGGCTACACGATCACGGACGGTGGCGATGGGTGTGCATTGTGCTCTTGTTGTTGTTAAACTTACAGAGTGCCGGCGACATGATCGCCGCGGAGCGGCTCGTGCTGCGGCTGGAGCCCCGATCCCTGGAGCTGGAGACCACCCTCCCTCTCCTCCGGGGGCACCGTCTTTACTCCGCCCTCCTGGCGGTGGGGGCGTTGACGGGCGACCACGTGTCTTCCGCGGAGGAGGTGTGCACACTATTGTCTAAGCCTTGATAAGACTGCTGTGTACTCCAGATTTGTAAAAATTCTTTTTTGTTCGTTCGAGGTTGGCTGGGCTGTTTGAGTCAAAAACTCACGTCAGCTGTGCGAGCTTGGGCAACGTCACGCCGCTGCTGGCAGTCAGCCGTGGGTTGGTCCTGCTGCCTGCTTTCATTCTCATCCTGCATCACGCATTGATGACACTTTGCTCTCATGAGCCCATTCCAGAGATAACTTGTATGTACTAGAACCATTTATTGTTTTTGTTTTATCGTGGCTGCACTAAGTTTGTTTGCAAGGTGGCAGCGGAAATCTAAATACACGTTCAAGGAAGCTCATCTCGATAAGTGGCGTTATTTTCCACTTCCTGTCAACACTGCTGTGAAGTTCCGCGTCAAATTATTTCATTCATGCTATCCCAACTTGGGTTTCATCTGTCCACATTTTTTATTTTGCGTCCCACGGTTTGCTCAAGTTTTTTCCCGGAACTGTGGATTCTTGGTAGAAGAGGGTCAAGCCCCGAACTGCCAACCCGGAGGAGACGTTATTCTCCCCGATACGAAACACGCCTCAAAAGAGATCGTGCCTTGAGGGTGTTGGTTTGCGAACACAACCGGCTGGAATGCCTCCGCTATCGTTGCAGATCCCCTCTCACGTCATGACTCTCAGTAGTGGTTAGGGTTAATAGAGGGGGGGGGGGGGGGGGG